ATATTAAATTTCTTATAATCAACATCAATGAAGTGATTAAATTTATTGAAATAATTTAAAATTTAATATATGTTATTTATATTAATAAAATTTTTAATTTAATTATTAATTTTTTAAAATATTAATTAATAGATAAATTTGGACATATACTCTTTAAAAAAATTAGTTATATATATTCTTTAAAAAAAATTTAAAAAGATAACTTGTAAAATACTTTTTCTTACACTACGTAGCATAAAGATAATATTGTAATATAATTTGTCCTATAAAAACTATTTTATTTTTAATTACTGATAAAAAAAATGAATTCTAATAGTATAATAGTATCACCAATAAGTAAAGTGCAGCCATTCTACCAAAAAAAAAGGAAGTTCAGCCCACACGTAACGGACTGCATTTCCCTTTTCTTTTTTTCCTTTTTTATTTTTTTTTTTCTCTCTCAACATAAATTAGTATTAAATTTTAAGAGATTCTTAAAATCTAGAAGTAGACTTTTTTTTTTTTTTGAACCGGGAAACTTGGGGGATAGGGAAGTAAATGCTTGGGTTTGAATGCAAGACTTTAGTGTCGTAGACACCACCTGTTTCATAGGATAATCACTAAGTCAATTAATGATGAATTAGAAGTAAATTTTATTAATATAATAATTTGTACAATTTAAAAGGCAAAACAATGAATTATTTAAATATCATGGTTGTTATTGTTTAGATTGACTTATATTTTCTTTTATCAATCCATACTAAAACCTATTTTCTCTTAATTTTTTATTATAAAATAAGAGGTAAAGTTATTGTGTGTTTTAACTAATTTTTGAAATAAAAAAATATTGTGCAATACAAATTATGTTAACGGAGGAAGGCAAACTCTTTGATATTAGAGATTGTTTTTCTCGTATAATAATTTTTATTTTATAATTTGATATAATTTAAACAACAAAATATACATATTTACTTAAAATAGTTTGTCAACCACAACAGATAATTTTCTTGTTGGGTCTTTACCTTTGAAGCTTATTGGACTCTTATTTCGGCCCAAATATTTTGAGTGGAAATACTAGGTTCTGATCCAGGGGGCCAAAAAAATGGGTTGGAACTTGAAGAAGAGAACCCCATCAGATTATACTAGTTAAAGCCCAGTGATTTCTTAGCAAATTTGTACCCAATCAGAACTTAAAGACATTGAATGGAATAAAAGTTGGGTCTAGTAGTATGCAGGCCAGCTGATATGTCTGAAGAGCCCACAACCCACGCCATGAGAGGACTGCATCATCTGAATTTGACATAAAAATAGCTGCAGGATGATGGGTCTGGTATGTGAGCCCATTCCATAAAATGTCAGTTTTTCATTTTCCCTACAACATTCATAGTTGCTTGAATACAAAGAAAACAGGCTGAAAGGCAGCTACTAACTTGCATTCTTGTTATGCACTCTCATTTTCAAATAGAACCCATCATATATTTCGAAATTCCCTTCTTTTTTTTTCAACCTAAACGGGGGAAAAGAAAAAAATAGTCAGACAACCATAGTCATAGACTTTTGGCTTCCCTTCTTTCTTTCTCTTATGCTAATGCTATGGTTGTCTGAACAAAAATCCCTTCTTTTTTTCTTTTTTTTTTTTTGCCAATATAAAAACTAATCTATATCTGCAAATCATTATGTAAGCTATTATGAATACAAAAAAAAAAACCACCAACTAATCCATGATGTGTTTCATGTATTATGCTGGCATTTTGGACAGCACCTATGTCTTAATTATTGTTTGAAAAATGTATTATGTAATTTGGACCGCAAAATAGTAAACTCTTATAATTTTGTTTTTCCTTTAGTCTTTTTATTAATACAATGAAGTAAGAGAAAATGTGTAAATAAAAATATTTTTTTTTTCATTTAAGAATGTTAATTTTGTTAATTTTTAAATAAAGATGATAATTTTTAACTTTTTCTATTTAAAAATTTAATTGAATAGTGACACTAATTTAGTAAAAGTGTATTTGCTAAGTTAGTATCACCATCTAATTAAATTTTTAAATAGAAAAAATTGAAAGTAAATATTTTTAAATAGAAAAAAAGTTAAAAGTTGATTTTTTGTTTAAAAATTGATAAAATTAATAATCTTAAACAAAAAGGTACAAAATTAGTATATATATTTATGCATTTTCTCACGAAAGTAGTTGCAACTATAGAGCTAGGAATTGCTAACATTAACCTAAAATCAAATTTTAATAAGTTATTTAACATTGGCTCTTCTAATTTCTTATTGGTATTTGGTAGTACTCATTGTCAGAGCATGGTCACAATCCATGACCAATTCTAATATTTAAAAGAGAAATAAAAGTAAAACCCATTAAATTTCCAGTGGTCTTAGGAACAGAAACTTCCACCCATCCCTCTCAAAATTTTTGTGGCAATTCCACTTGTTAGTTGTTACCATCCCAAACTAAGAAACAAAAAATTTTGATAGAACTCCTTATCTCTTCAAAGGGCACAAAAACAACAAATCCACAGGGCCACACGGTCTTCATCCCAATTTCACCAACACGCCCTGGCCTACCCGCGCGCATTAAATTGTGACATTACGCGCTAACGTACGGACCAGGCAGCGGGTCCTTTGTATGACCTTGTAGCTTCGCTCTCTTCCATTCAAATACACCTCTGTTGAGAAAGAAAAGATCGGACATGTTGGTGGGGTAACTAACATGACATGTTCTTTCCTAAGAAGTTTTACAAATTATATATATATATATATATATATTTATACCAATTATCTAAGTAATTTAGTATTTTTTTATTAAAAATAAGGGATTCTCAGTTTGAATCGCATGACATGCAGATGAAATAAGATAAAAAATAAAAAATAATTACTTTTTATTGTACAATCAAAATTAAAAAAATATATATACTTTTTTTTATCTCAAAATAATTATTTTTTAACTAAAATTTATTTTAAATTAATTGTTATTATTTTTTATTTTTAAAAAAATAATTTTTTTTTATTTTTAACTTTATAATTATTTCTTAACTTAATTATTTACTTTATTACTAAACTTGTTTATATTTTTATCTATTTCTTGAAGATTATTTAAATATATACATAAATTATAAATTATGAATTGTTAACAGTAATACTTTTAGGGATAACTTCCAAAACATCAATCAAACTCAACCCAAAGTTTAAACCCACCTTTTTCTTTTATCTTTTCCCATTCCACTACCTTTCCTTTTCGTATTTGTTAGGGTTAGGATGGTTCCTTAACATCATTTATTAATTTTTTAGTCCCAACTTAAGTTCAGAGGATGCCTTCTCTTGGCCTCCAAGCTGAGAAAGCTATGTTGCTTCGAGTATTATTATTTATTATTTGATGTGATATTTCTTACTTTGCCATATCTTCTCCAAGAATTGGGACAGAAAGCGGGAATCTTCCCATCTTGAATGCTACGTGAGTGGAGAAAATCCTTCCTCTTCACTCAAAAATCATACCTCCTCCTCCTCCTCCTCCTCTTTATGCAAGGGAAGAACTCATTCTCTTGCCTTTCTTCTTTTTCCATTTTTTTCCCCCTTTTCTCTTTATTTACTTATTTTTCCAGTTGTTAATGGGACAGTCCAATAGCTTTATCCATGCTTGTTCAGCAAATTCTGGAAATGATTCATCTTGATCGAATGGGTGGTCCCGGGATGTCTCTATATATAATTCATTGTTGTTTGGATTTAATGTTCAATATCAATGAATTCACCACCAATCACCCCCGGTCCGCCTGCGCTGTTTCAATTCATGCTTATCTAGTAAAAAATGAAGAATGCTCATTAGCAGTTAGATATGGTCCCATTTGCGATATTCAAAAGCAAAATCTTAAATCTCAACTAAGATATCTCATACCACTAACTACTAAGTACTATATACCTTAAATGGGAATGACAAATCTGGGATCAAATATCGTAGATATTGCTAGATCATCTTTTTATTTTATTCGCTTATTCAAAATCAAAAAGGGGATTGGAATTTGGAAGGTCTCCCTTTGTCCCTTAATCTCTAATAAGGCCTCTGTTTCCATTCTAAAGTCTTGGGATGATTAGAACGGGTTTTAAGCAATTGGGGGATGAATTGTGTATGGAATCTAAGCTACTATATCTGATGAACTGTTAGCTACCAGACATTATATGCAATATGTTGCTTCCTACTTGCCAATCCAGGAAAAATTATTTCTGTGAATGCAACGAGCACAAGACTTTCCTAAATGCAAGGTACCTGGATGCTGAGATTGATGCATAAGTCAGTAGCAAGTAACAGTGAATTTATGTTGAATAAAGCTCAATACTATTGAGAAATTTCTATTCAATTTTATAGAAAAGCGACCATAAGATCACCAAATCAGTAAAACAAGAACAACCCAACTCCTGAAAACAATAATTCAGAACAAAATTCAATATGAACTTACCATTTCAGGTCCTTGAACTTAAAAGTTCAACCCATTGATCTTCATCAACACAAGATCTTCATTAAACCTGCAGAAATACAGATCTGAAAACCATAAAAATCATAATTACGAGAAAATCAATGACAAAACTGTACTAAAAAACACAAGAAGCCAAATCAGAACAAAATGGAAAAAGAAAAAGGGAAAAAAACGCATGTAGAAAGAAGGAAAAAACGTAAAGCATACGGTGAGGATAACTAATAACCCACTCGCAACACAAACAGACAGACTACATGCGTGCAAACCAACGATTAGACCTAAAGGTAGACTAAAAAGGATAAGCTTCATATTCAGAAACGTTACACGCAATTGTTAAAAAAAAAAAAAAAAAAAAAAAACACAAACAAACAAACAAAAACAAAAACAGATTTTACGGTTAAAGGGCAAACGGTGCTGAACTGAGAAATGGAGGGGAAAAGTGGAAAAATGAAGGTTGCTGTGAATGGCAGGACTGAATCACAAACATCCAAAGCAGAAGGATGAACAAACTCACCATCACAAAAATGGTTTTTGGGAGATCCAGAATGATATTGGTGTGTTCATAATTCATTTAATGTCCACGCATCAAAAGCATATCTTCTTCTTCTTCTTCACGATTTACAGTTACATCATAATCATATCACTTAATTTTTTTATTATTTAATTTTTAGTCCCTTCTTCTCCTTGCAGTATTCTTTACTCTTTCTGAAATTCAAAGTAGACTGAGCACCGATCTCCAGCTTCCGGTTGTTATTGCCAGTGGTTTCCGTTGTGAATGAGGTAGATATGGCTCGGACTTCCGTGATGCGCGTGATATCCATAGTGAGGAGCCTTTCCCGACGATTTCTCCATACAGAGTGGGAAAGCCACCGGAGCTGAGAGCGGGCGGATGTAGGGCTGTCTAGGAGTAGGGCATGTAGACTTTGAGGACGAAGCTGATGATGGAGGAGGAGAAATGGATTTTTTGGTAGATTTTGGCGGCGAAAGGAAGGCTCTGATCTTTAAAGAGGACGGTGGTGATGCTACACGATCGTATTCCTCGATGAGATTGGCTAGATCCTCATCGGAGGTGATCGACACCAGAGCGTCCAGATCCTCAGCCGGTAACTGGCACCGTAAACACACCGCCGTACCACACATCTCTCCGAGCTTCAACGAGAGCTCTGTACCACACCATAATTTCACTCCACATCAACAATCAATCAAGCACTGGAAAATAACCAGCACTTTCTTCCTTTTTTTTTTCAAAATAAAATTCAAATTTTCAACCAAACAGATATCTAAATATCTAATGATTATCGCTTTGATTTAAGCGAATTCAAAACGCAGAACAGGTAGACAGGACGAGATTTAAATTAAAAAATAAAAAAAAGAGGAGGAAAATACAGAGTACTGACCCGAAAAGGAAATGGAGCGATCGACAGCGAGGACACGAGTTTCGCCGCCCTGGTAACGGAGCTTGCCGTCGGGATAACGGGGAAGGATTTTACCGCCGTAACTACAGAGGAACTTAATGGTGGCGTTGGGTACGACCATTCTTTTCCGGTGGCTGGGAGCAGGGGAGATGGGGTCCAGTGTTTGGATTTGAAGAGAAAGGCGAAGAGGGAGGACTTGGAAGATGCTTTTGTGGTAGCTCCTTCAAGCCTAGGTGTGGAACTCTTGAGCCCTTATTTATAGATCTCAGACCCCGGTCGGTTCGCTTAAATCAGTAGGATCCGGATTCGGGATACCCATTTCTAGGGATGGCAATTTGCCCCAATCCCCGCGGGGTACCGTGGGGATCCCGTCATGGGGACGGGACAGGAAGGAATACTTTTTTGTTATAGAGTGAAAATGGGAAGATTTTCTCTTTGTGAAAATTCATAGGGAATTTTTCCTATCCCGCGGGCCTTGTGGGGATCCTCATCCTCGTGAAAAATTTAAAAAATATGTAAATTAGTTTTATTTTAAATTTAATTCAACTTTCAAATCTAAATCCAATTCAATAAAATTTAAATTTAAT